ACCACCGGATTCTTCCATTCTCCATCCTTGAATTGGTGAACGATGGCCGTGACTCCCAATCGCGTAGCTGCTGCTTCCAACGTAGCCCCGCATATGTAGCGTGAGTCGCGAGCAAGACTGTCCTCCCACTGCTGGTAGTTTTCTGGTACGGACCCTCCTTCGCTGACTTCTGTCCACTGTGGGTCCTTGGCCCAAGCACTCTTGTACGTTTCAGGATGCCGCTTGACATGTTGCTGTACTTCGACACGAAGGGTACGCCCACGAGTCTGAGCCTCGTCCTTGATGTCGTTCCATTTGGCACCATCTGCCAACATCTTGCCCATGGCTAAGCAATTGTAGCCGCACGCGCCATTGCCACCACAATCTCGCACGGTGTAGCCATCGAAGGAGTCATGCTTTGACCGCTTCGAATCTGGGCCTTTGGTGACGGTCTCACGCTTCTTGCTTGAGCCATCACCCTCTTGTTTGTGACTGTCAGCAGTAGCAGTCTCGGCTTCGCCACTGTCAATCTGCATGGCGGCACGAGTCTTGTGCCCGCTGGGACCACCATCACCAAAAACTTTGCGAAGTGGATGCGTAGTGATCTTGGTCGGCTTGGCACCTGTACAACGCTGTATGACCAAGATGTGCTTTCCCACTTCGACCGCCTCGACGAAGTCTGAGACATCACCGGGGTTCACTCCTCGGATGCGCCATCCCTGGCCTCGTCTTGGAGGCGCCAAAACTTCCAACTCAGTCCATCCGGCTCCTTCCAGAGCGCTGCACAGATCGGACTATGTCCAAAACGCCGGGGAGCCCTTGAGCTCCCAACAAACTGGCACCTTCTTAGGCGCTCCAGTGAGGTACTTGATGCCCAGAGAGTCACGGCCTCCCTTTCGGAAAGCCGCCGGTTGTTGAGCCTCCTTGGCCGCGCGCTCCACCCTGCTGAAGTAGGTGGAACTGGACTCGCTCTCCTGTCTTGGTACCCACTGCACCAAAGGCTTCTTTTGCTCGCGACTCAGTCTCTCGAAAAAGCAGCCACTGCGTCCGCTCATCCTTGCAAACTTGTCCGCGTGCTCGTCGACGATGCGTACATAGCCTTCCAGGTACTCATCGCAGTGCCCCGCCTTGGACCAACACTCACGGCGTTGCCACTGGTATGACGAATGGAAAGCATCATCCGAACAGAACTGTCGAATGACCTTCTGTATGTTGCTCGAAGCATCCTTCCAGGCGCCTTCCTTTGCAAATTCCTTCGGGAGTGTGCATCGAAAGGTAGCCAACTTCCTCTGAACCGGCTGCGCGCTCGACTTGCGAACCGTTTGCCCAAGCTTGCCAGGAACATCCACAGTAAGCGGCGCGATCTTGAACTCTTCGATGGTGATCTGGCCTGCCCGCAACACAGGGAGCTTCACCGTGGTCGCAGAGTCACTGTCGTCTGTCGTCTGGTACAGGAGGCCGACCTTCACGCTCAGCTTGTGGATCGCCGCCAGCTCTTTCGTCTCGTTTGCTTCTTGTTTCGAAGCGACCCATGCCCATTTGTTCTCCGGAGCCTTGCCTTTCCGAAGCTCTTGAAGAAGAAACTCACGCGGAATCAAAGCGCCATCTGGGAAGCTGGAAGGCATAAGACGAGCAGACGCCTGGCCTTTGTTGCCACTTTGCTTCGCCCCGGGACGAGCATTGACCGGAGCAGCACTAGGAAGTTTGTTGGCATCCTTCGTCTTGCCTTTGCCCTTGCTTTTTCCCTTGTCGCCACGTTTGACAACTTGAACCCAGCTGTCGCCCATAGAAGGCCGAACATGTCGACTAGGTGTTGCGGGAGCCGCGTCGCCATTACTAGGCTTCGCCTTCTTCTTCTTCTTCGGCCGAAGGCGTCCCTGAGACGCCATATCAACCACGACCTGGATCCTCTGCAAAAGCCGTTTTGGGTTTCGCGATGCCCGGGTGACTAAGGAATGCAAGGCTTCAAGAAGACCATACTCCTCTTCGCTAGCAGTGTCTTGCTGCACACGCGGCGTGGGCTTAGCGCCCGTGCCCTTGCCCTTGGCGGCTGGAGTCTGTGGAGCAGACGTACTTTGAAATTGCTGAAGGAGTTGCTGTAATCCTGTCAACAATGCACGCTCATCTCTCTTTGCGGCCGTAGTTTTGGCAGCAAGGCCAGAACCACCTCTGAAGTCGCCCCCAATGCCTCGACGAGGAAGCATTGGTGGATAGCATCTCGTGCCATCGTCGGGCGGGCAACATCTTGCGAAGAGCCTATGTCTCCAACCACAGCGAAGGCCGCGGCCGTCTTTGATGCCCAATCCATCGACATCGTACGCCTTCCCTTGACGGGAACAGCCATTTGCAAAGTCCATCAAACACGCAGCACAGAAAGCCACGTGTCAAGTAGACACACCGCAAAGTCATCATCAACCAAAGAACATCCGTGCAGAAAGTACTGCGGGAAAGAGCGTCGCACGCGTTGCACTCTAAGATCGGGGCTAGCTTCACACACCACTGACCTGCCCATAGGAAGGATGCGATAACAGCCTGCAAAGCCCTGACACAGATGCCGGCAAATACTTGAATCTTGTGCACAAGCATTGAGCGAGCATCGCTTGCATAATAATTGTTCCCTTTGAATTTCCAGTGCCACCATGCAACGCAGCAGTAGCACATCATGATCATGAACCAAACTCCAAGCATCAGAAGCAGGCTCGAACTTCCCTTGATGATTTCGTACTCGGCATGCGCCGAGCCCGCAAGCGCCGTCGTGGAGGCATCATCTCGCTTGCTGCGTACTTTTGGGTGCAAAACACGACTGACATGGACTCGACAGGCTCGCGAGCATGAAACACGTCATGTCGACCAATGGCATGAATGCATCGGCCCCCTTTTGTGCTGGCAAACCCCTCGCGCACCTTGGCAAGACTCGGGCACCAGCAAAATGACTAGGGGACCTTGCCATGCAGTTTGCCGCAGGCCTGTGCTGCAGGATGCTTTCGCAGGGTGTGGCTGTGAGCCATGCGCCGGCATGCGGCCCCGCCTGAGAACAAAGCAGTGCACGTAAATCGGGCGACAAGGATGGCATGACCACGCGTTCACCAAGAAGTGTTCGGGCAGCGAGAAGTTGGACGTAGGGCAACCAACAGTGCACTCCACCAGCGCCGTGCCCAGCCTTGGGCTGCAGCGGGCGCAAGGGTGGTGGGGCGCGTTGGACACGCAGCCGGAGTAGAGTACGGAGGAACTGCTTGCACTCGTCGCTCCATCGGCCCCCGACTTCTGCAGCGAGGACTACGAGTCGTTGAGGCCCTCCGCGGGTCGACTCCGGGTGGTGACTTTGCGTCGGCGCGCCGCGACAGACGCGACTCCCTCCCGCGCGTCGGCACCGACAAACGGGGCGGCCAGCGCGAGTCAGGGGGGAGACGAGGGTTGCGTCGCAGCACAAGGCTTCGCCGTTGCTCGTGGCTCCGTAGACAACGAAGTCGAGGCGGCGACGGTCGTCGGGGTGAACCTGCGGCGCTGTTGTGCGCTACAGCCACTGCTGCGGCACGACCCGTCCGTACGGACCGACCGCTTCGCGAGCGACCTGAACCCACGCCCGTTCAACGACGAAACCACGCCTGGGCAGCAGGCCCGTGCGTGGGCAGGCGAGGTGATGGTCCCCGTATGCATCGACCTCAAGCCCACATCCGTGTCGGCCTTCAGCGCCACAGTGCAGGGCCGTGAGGGGCAAGGGCAGCCGAAGGCGGCGCCTCATTGCGACGTGTGCGTCAGGACGGGTGCAAGGGTGGTCGCTGCGTCCGCAAGAATTGCCGGAAGCCACATACCAGCCTGCGGACCGGACTGAGAGTGGAGGAGGGCGCGAGCGGCCGGAGCCAAGGCCGGAAGTAACACGCGTTCTCGAAAGCGTCGGCGCCGCGTGCGCAAGACGCCCACTCCGGTCTGCTCGTTCAGCCCTCCGCAGCAAGCTGGCGTGCAGCCTGCGCAGCTGCACGTGGGCAAGGCGCTGCCGGTTCGCCCTCGAGCTCTTGTACTGGCCGGGCTGCTGCGTCGGGGTATCGTTGGCGCAACACCGGGAGCGCATCTGCCCACGCTGCCCAGTATGCTGCCGGTGATACCCGCTCCGCTGCCAAGAGACCGAGGCCTCCCAGGCTCGGCGGCAAAAAAGCGCCCTGGCGAGCAGCAGCCCAGTCGTCTCCCTCGCCGGGTCATTGGTCGCCCAGCAAGCCTTCAACTACCGCCCAGACCGCATCGTCGTGACCGCGAGCGTACGGCAGGATGTCGGCTGGGGGTACGTTGTGGAGCAGATGTTGTGTACGAGGCGCCGCGCAGAAAGCGAGCAAAAGCCAGGCGCACTGGACATCGGGGAGCTGCATGAGCTTCCGAAGTAAGTCGGCCTCAGCATCAAGGCGGTTAGCGGCTTGGGTTTTAACGAAGTCGGGGTGACCAAAAGGGCACGCCGAGAGCGACGAAGCCACGATGCTCCGGGGGCAGGTTGCCGCACCAGACGTCCAGGCCCAAAACGTCGACGCCGGGTGGCGCATCCCCTCCAGCTGCGTTGGGGACGCGTCTTGCCCAGGTTGGCCTCGACCCCGGGACCTCGCCAGTGATTTTCCGATGGGCTTCCAGCAACTCCAAGGCCTAACCCATGGCTTCCCCAACGTCGATGGTCCGCTACCAGCACCCGTGCCCGCATAAGCACCCGCGCACCCGCACCTCATTCGCAAGCGCGCCCGCAGTCGCCCCAGCACCAGCATGCACCAGCAAGACCAACACCACCAGCACCAACAGCAACAGCAACAGCAACCGCCACAGCGACATCGACGGCGACAAAAAAAACAACACCAACTTGTCGTGCTGGCAGCCCTTGAGGCCGCGCTTGATGCAAATGTGGCTGTTGCTGACACGAATATAATTATGCTGTTTCGCGAGAAAGTTGTGCAAGCGCCGATCAAGGCAAGGCAAGGCAAGTGGATGCAGGCACGCGCCGGAAGCGATGCGCTTACATGCGCGCCGCATTCGCGACGCATATGGGAGCCGTATATTGGTGTCGCTGGACGGTAAAAGCGCGTACGACAGGCTGTCTCGAGCGGCCCTTCCTCTGCAAGCTCTGCGAGCCAACGTGGACACGACGATGTCGACTGCTGAAGCCGTTCATATGCACGGATGGCCGCTTGTTTGGGGGCGCTAGGCTGTCTCGGGTTGCAGTCCGCCCAGTTGACCGCTTCGGCAGCGTATTGGGCCTCGGAAACGGACGTTATTGCGCGCCTGCCCGGGTGCGCAGTCATCTGCAGCGAGCCGTCGCCATCTCCGCGCTTGGAGTCTGGACCATGCCGCTGCTGCCTAGACGCGCTCCCGTTGGGTGACGTGTTGGACCTCGCGATAGCAACGGCCCAAGCACGTGCACAGCTCGTTCTGCGGCATGGTGGACCTGGGGTGTGCAGTGCTGTCAAACATGCGCTTGCTGCTTACCGAGCATCCTGGGCTGATGCACGGCGCACGCTAAGTCGATGCGATGCCGCCTTTGCCCGCAACATCATTGGCTCGCGCCTGTGGCCGCCTACTGCCCGAAACCCTTCAGTCCTTGTGCGTTTGCCCGGAACTCCTTGCTAGCCATCTGCCGTCCCAGCCCGAGGAAGAATAGGAAGACCCCTCCCTTGTGACGTCGGGATTATGCGACGTGCTAACAGAAGCATTCCCGATAATAACTAAGATCAAGAATAAATGGCGGCAGGAGATTGAATTGAATTACTCAGCAAAAATGAAAGTGATTGCTCGGGGAATAAAGGGCCACCCAACGCTTGAGCTGCTGTGAAGTTTGCTGCCGTGGCGAGGGAAAGCTCTGAGCTGGGATGGAGGGCGGGGCCCTGGGAAGGATCGGGGGATAGGATAGCGGATGCAGCCCTCTGGGCGCCTATTCTCTGTCCAAGGACTTGGTCCAAGGGAAAACGGCACGGCCATGTTGCAGCCGGGGACTTGTTTTGGGCCGTCCACTTTGGGCTGTTTTTTTTTGGACGGCCTTCGCCGCGGCTATTCTCCAGCGGAGCGCGGACGTCCATGTTTTCTCCCAATCTACAGTGTAACATAGAAAAAAGTTGAACGCCCCCCTCTGCCCTTTTTTCAGCGGCTACATTGTAAAATGGAGAAAAATGGGGCCGCCCCCAGGCGGCTCTTTCTCCAATTTACAGCCCGCTGCCTCATTTCCATTTTTCCATTTTACATTGCAGAATGGAGAAAAAGCTGGTCGTCGGCATTCCGCTGGAAAATGATCCGGACAGCCCAAAAAGCGTCACCGGAACAATGAGCGCAAAATGGCGGTTTTCATTGGACTTGAGGTAGCAAGAGTCAGGCAAGCGTCATGGGTGCTAGAATTCTTCGGAATCACTCTGACAGCTGCCCAAAGACACCTTCAAATCACTCTTGCATTCCAGCCTTCGGAATTTCGTACGCGCAACGCAACGCAATGCTACATTAGTTTGCTATCGGCATTGTATCGATCACAGACGGGCCAAGTGCAAGCTGGGAGGAAGTTTCCAATCCAACGTGGAGTCAAACAGGGTGATGTGCTCAGTCCGGCACTTTTCAATGCTGGCCTTGAACTCGCACTTGCGCGATGGAAATGCAAGCTCTCGCAACACGGGCTGCACGTTGGTGGAACAGAACGTTGTACAAACATACGGTATGCAGATGACATGTTGCTGTTTGCCAAATCACTGGAGGA